TCAACCACTGACTTCGTCGTGGTTCTTCCGTCGGTAGGACAAACAGCTCAGATTTCTCCTCACATTTCAGGAAACAGGTCCTTGGCATTGGCATGACTGGATCGATTGTGAACTGAACCAGAGCTTCCAACAGTAAATGTTAGGCTGGCAGAGGGTGCGGCCAGCGCCGCTGGGTGTGGCCATAGCTCTTCCGGATTGGTCCATTTCGTTCCGGGTACGGCATGACATCATGCCGTACCCGGAACTAAATGGAAGACTCAAATGGGCAGTGACGTATCTCCAACGAGGCGTTTTGGGGAGATATTTTCTGTGTTAGAGTTTTACTCGCTACAGGGTGTACTTTGAGGGTTTTGACTCTGCACACCCTTTACATGCATAAAAACCTTCATAACACACAAGGGGACGGGTAATAACCGGAAAAGCATGACATGGGCCCTTTAAAGTTGGAATGAGGTTTAATACTTTCGGGTTAATAATGTGGCCTTTTTGGCAGTTTAACTAAAGGTGTGCGGCTGCTACCGTGAGGAAATATCAGCCTGAAATTACAATGGGCTTTAATGGAGGCATGTTGAAAGTTTTTGTCACTTCATGCCCTCAAGAGGCATTTTGTTTAATTATGTTTTGCTTAATTATTTGTCATTTTTCAAGCTACAAGATGTTTCCCACGTTTGTCATTAAAAATGATGTCTCAGGAATGTAGGGTTTGGGAATTATGGCAGTTTTAAAAAAAAATATGAAGGCAAATTTCAAGATTTCCTCCACTCTAGCTGTGACATCACGCACTCTAGTTAATGTTAAAATCTGAAGAAAACCTCTTTAACAAGGTCTGAACAATGTTTAATATCTCTAAAAGTAAGAATCAGATTTAAAAGTTGTGTTACACGAATAATGTCAGAAAGATGTGTAACATTTTAAAGTTGGAATGAGGTTTCTGAGTGAAAGTATGAATGAACAGTTAGCAGTTGAAGTCGCATGAAGATTTGTTGAAGTCTGAATAATTTCTCCATTGACTTCAATGGTTAAAAATGTGATGTATTATGGGATGTATCTCTGGATTTATGAAAGTTATGAATGATAAAAGTAATAGCCATCGATTCCCAACCGAGCTGAACGTTTTGATGTTTGAACGGAGTTTCTGCGATGTTGAATGTGGGAGGAGAAGAGGGCCAAAATAAGCCGGCGGAATAATAAACTTTTCGTCCATAGCATAACATGTAGTTGGAATGCTGTTATCAGCATTCCCACAAAATAACATATAGTTGGAATGCTGTATCAGCATTCCCACTAAAATATATATACCCCGTCAGTCATAACATTATGACCACCTGCCTAATATTGTGTAGGTCCCAAAACAGCCCTGACCCGTGGAGGCATGGCCTCCACTAACCCTCTGAAGGTGTGCTGTGGTATCTGGCCCCAGGTCCTTTAAGTCCTGTAAATTGTGAGGTGGGGCCTCCATGAATTAAACTTGTTTATCCAGCACATCCCACAGATGCCAAATTGGATTGAGGCCAAGTCAACACCTTGAACTTGTTGTCGTGTTCCTCAAACCATTCCTGCAGTGTGGCAGGAAGCATTATCCTGCTGTAACAGGCCACTGCCATTTGGGGATACCGTCTTCATGAAGGGGTGTATTTGGTCGGCAACAATGTTTAGGTAGGTGGTACGAGTCAAATTAGCATCCACATGAATGGCAGGACCCAATGTTTCCCAGCAGAATATTGCCCAGAGCATCACACTGCTTCTGCCAGCTTGCCTTCTTCCCATAGTGCACCCTGGTGCCATGTCTTTCCCAGGAGAGCAACACATGATGTAAAATAAAACGTAATTCATCACACCAGGCCACCTTCTTCCATTGCTCCGCGGTCCAGTTTTGATGCTCTCGTGCCCATTGTAGGTTCTTTGGGCGGTGGACAGGGGTCAGCATGGGCCCCCTGACCGGTCTGCAGCTACACAGCCCCATACACACGTACTGCGATGCACTGTGTGTTCGGACAGCTTTCTAACAGAACCAGCATTAACTGTTTCAGCAATTTGAGCTACAGTAGCTCTTCTGTTGGGTCGGACCACACAGGCCAGCCTTCGCTCTCCACGCCCATCAAGGAGCCTTGGTCGCACATGACCCTGACGCCGGTTCACCGGTTTTCCTTCCTTGGACCACTTTCGGTAGGTACTGACCACTGCAGACCGGGAACACCCCACAAGAGCTGCAGTTTTGGAGATGCAGTCTGACGCAGTTGTATAGTCATCACACTCTGGCCCTTGTCAAAGTCCCTCACATACTAACGCTTGCCCATTGTTTCTGCTTCCAACACATCAGCTCATCAGCACATATCCCGCCCACTGACAAGTACAGTCGTCATTATATTATGGCTGATTGGTGTATATCAATAGAGTATCTAAAGAATACACAATATGAAATGTAAATAATGACTTAAAACCGTCTATAGTAGACCAATCTATAACCAAAACAGAAACATGTGGACATACTTTTTTAAAGATTTTGAAATCAAATGCATCAATCTGGTGCAATATAAGTGCAGAATTAAGAGACTAGATCTATGGATACATCTCTCAACGCCCTTATGAAACAGAACTGTGTACTTTTCAATAATCAAAAAATCATTAGAATATGGCCACAACCAAAAACAAATATGTAAACTTGTTTATTACATTTTTTGGTTCATTTATAGTTGTGAGTGTCTTGGTTCCTGAGTCTCAGAGCCACTCCTCTTTCCCTCCTCTCTCTCTCCTTTCTTCCTCCTCTCTCCTCTCTCCCTCTCTTTCTCTCTCTTGCTCTCTCTCAATACATGTGCTCGTGCCAAACACACGCACACACACACACACACACACACACACACACACACACACACACACACACACACAGGTAGCTTCTATTGAATGTATTGAAGTAGCAATTGGCTGCCTTCTGACTTCTCTGGTAGCCCTAGTAAAGATTTTTCCGTCTCCCGCTATTTTGAGATCATCTGTCTTAGATTCCAGCGTCTTTATCAACTTTTCGGCACGGTGAAGATCCAGTTTTGTAGCTTGTAAGGTGTCTTCAAATGTCGTAATTCTTTTTTCAGCTTCGTCCATTTGCTGAAGTTGTCTCTCAAGTACCTGGTTTGTTATAGTCAGTGCTTCTCTCATTGTTGAAACTGGACTAGTCACGTTCTCCAAACGGTTATCAATGCCATCGAGAAGATTAAGTATCCCAGAAAGTTGAGATTTTGGCTCGGACATTAACTTAACAAGCGAAGGATTTCTATCACTCTCTTGAGACTCTACCTCCAGTTCTGGTAGGCCCTTGTTTGTTTCATAGTTTTCTTTTTGCCATCCTACCTTCTTTTTCTTTCTTTTTATAGCAGGGTTGCGGTCGAATAGTCCATTTAGCTTAGGAACCTTCCTAACGGAGTGAAATGACCCGGAAGTCCCTCAGTGGCAGCCATGATAAGTGCCGTTCGAATTCTCTAAATGAAAGGAAAGGAGGTTTCAAACTTCCTTTATAAGCTCCTTTAGCTTAGGAACCACTGGACCTCCCTAACCTAAAGGAGAGGAGAAAATGCTGCCCCACAATGCCTTGCGGCCGCGGCATTTGCCGTCACACAACAGTCGGCCGTTCACGGAAACAACCGATTATGAACGAGAAATGATATCATGAAAGTTACTGTGCTTATTAAGCTTTTTAAAACGTATGTGGTAACTTGCCAAAGTGCTTTGTTTTGAACGTTCATCAGTATTATAATCAAAAAGAGAAATATGAACGTTAGTTTTTACTGAAATGATCAAATAAAGTCAACATTTCACAGTCTTTACTGAACTGTGTGGGGTTTGTTCAACTTTTAAAAGATGTTTGAATGGTGATATACACAGTGATAGATGTTAAGGACTAACGTTTATAATAAATACATTTGTATTGATTTTAAGATCTTTTCATAGTTCATACAATCATACGTATTGGGATCATTTGTATTAATGTGGACCGGAGGGAGAGGGTGACGAGCATAAGTTTCACTTTCCTTTTTTATTTAAATTCCAACTTTGGTCATGAAGAATATGTTTCTCGGTTGTCCCCGTTCATAAAGCATAAAACAACAGCATCAGAGCACGGTGCAGAGTCTCTAGATGAGTTTACAGTAGTCCTTCGTTCTTATTAAACATCCATGTTGTAGTCCACTGTATAGAAAACTGTAGTTTCCATAGTTTCCCCACAGCAGCAGGCGCACATTTATGACCTCCGCTGGCGCATCATAAACACGTCGGATAGTGAAAGTGCAGTCGGATTCTCTAAAGTACCGCAGTCTCTTCTCCTAAATCCTTTTGAATTCTCCTATCCACTATCCCTTAACCCCATGACGTTTCACTCAGAGGTTAAGGGATAGACGATAGGGTTAGAACTTAGGAGCTGATTTTTGGACTATTCGACCGCAACCCAGGAGTCTTTTCTTAGATGTTGACTCTCCACAATTTACTCTATAAAGAATTCCAACTTTCTCTGAGTGGAAGTAAAAAAACTCATATGTATCACTGAGGTTGTGCAGAGCTCTCAGCTAAGATGGAAAATATAATGACTATACCAAAACGCCTCCATTGGACTCCTTTCTTTTCTTCCGTAACACAATGACATCACTATGTAACACTTGCGCTCCTATTGGCTTGCACTCCAACACATTGCACCTGATAGGCTATGGGGCGGGACATCTCATAGCGGCTGACCAATCACAACAGAGCCGGCCAGCGAACCAATCAGAGCAGACTGGGCTCTGGTTTCAGACAGAGGGTGAAAAGAGGTGCTGCAGCACAGGCAGTATGAGGAAAATAAAGAGCTTTTTGAACATTAAAGCATGGAGACATGTCACAGTAGAACCAATACAAATCTAATACGATTCTAACAATGAGTTTGTATGTATAACTCAAGTAACTCAAGAGGGGGAATAAAACTATTAAGGGAGGATAATCTGTGCAGATATTTTGCAGTAAAATGGTGTAGTGTTACAAACTTGTAAGGTGATTGGACCATGTTGTTAGACCCTGGATCCAGCAGGAAGTGCTTCTGGGATACCTTTCCTGTAACAGTATCTATGGTAACCACAGGGAAGCCCATCTGCAGCACCCAGCGGTTCATGATGTCAGAAACTGGATGAGGAAGTGGAACATCATTGGCGCTCACTGCCTGTTGACAAAGGTGACAGGAAGCACCTATCTGTATTTATGTTATTTTGACAAGGACAGTAAGATTTCAAAAACAAGTTTAAACATGGTGGGTTGGTGGTTGTAATCCTTCATTTAAAAAAATGATAATACATTTTCAACACTACCATGTTTCTAGTTTAAGGTGTATATATTACATAATAAACTACAGGAAAATGTCAGATACAACACAGTGTCAGAACATTATACCATGAACTAGTTGGGCTCTATTTTCCTGAAAAGGGTGGAAAAACAAGCAACATCAACATCTCCCAGCACAAATGCACATTATTACTGAAACGTTTTGGTGACCACAGAAGTTATAATAAATACAGCATTATTAAAAAGAGCAATACAGAATCGGAAGAGTATGGTGTAGACTCTCCACAAAAAGTTTAACTTCTGTTGTGATCCAGTGCTTTATAAATAAACGTTGACTTGACATGAGAATGTGAAGCCAGGAATAAAGGATGTGTGTTCTTCTTTCTAAACTCCACTAACACCTGTGGTCAGACTCAAATATACAGCAACCAAAGCTCAATGTCTTCCCTAAACCAGTGCTCAGAAAGATTTAAATAAACCACCACAATTTGCAATTGCAGCTTGATTTAGTTAACAATATGTACACTTAGGAATATATTTTCAGGAAATAAAATAAAAACTGCAATCTTACCAATTGTAGGTGCTGCCACAGGTCACTCCCCACTGTGTTACTGTAGGAAAATTGTTTGAGGTATGTCTGAATATAAAATAAAAACAATCATCCTGTCAGTTAGTTGTTCCCTGTTAGTGAATAAGTGCAAATACAGTTATTAATCACGACATAAAATGTGTGTATGATGCTTTTAAGCAAACAGAAACAAAGGAGCATACACTGAGTCCCTGGACAAAGACCGGCTCTGAGAGGAAATCAGACAACATCCTCAACACTGCTGCACCCTGGGGACACACACATAGGACACACACACAGGACACACACACAGGACACACTGTCAGTCTCTCTGTCAATCAATGAGCTTACACCAGCTTACAATTTGACTGGGGGGGCCGTGCTGGGGCCGGTTATTCAGTGAGAGGCATATTTAATGCTGGAAAAAAGGAGACAAAGTCAGTGTTCACGATTTAAACTTTTCAGTTCAGTATAAAGACATCAAATACCATTATTGGTTATTGTTTTAAAAACTGAATTTGTGTCAATGACTTAGTTACAATTTTAGTTTAGTTACTTACTTCACCATTAACCTAAATGCAGTTTGGGGTAATAAATACATTATTCACGTAGCCAATCGTTGTTTTTATTTCTTAATATGTGTTGGTATTGGTTTTAGTAACATCATTTGTTTCAGTAACTTGTTTCAATTGATTTAATCACAATACTGAAAAAAAACATTCCTGTTATCTTAGGCCAGGGATGTCCAAACATTTTTCACTGAGGGCCACATATAGAAAAACATACAAAGGGCCCCTCATGAGGTATATCACCTCATAAGTTATGAGCAGGGGTGCACATAACTGGTACGCAGGTACGCATGCACGGCAACAATCTGAAATGCGTACCGCCACTTGTGTCACAAAGCGCATTTGCGTACCGACGTACGCAGAGTCGGTCTCCATGTGCACAGACAGGGCTGCTGTTAACGTCGGTCTGTACAGCAGCACTGCGCTAAAACAGCTTATCACAACGTTCACACGCGCTGTGGTCACGAAGCTCTGTACTCCACTACCACCCCCCCCACCCCCGTTGGTTGACATTCGCGATACAGAGGGCTTCATGGGAACTTTGAGGGGAGCCAGAAGTTTGGAGTACCAAACACTGACTCCAGGTACTCACTGAGAAAGTTGTGTGCACCCCTGGTTATGAGGCAATATACCCCTCAATAATGTCTTGTTTCTGATATGAGGTTTTAAAGTTCATGTAAAGATATGTTGCCTTTGTGTGTGTACCTTGCTGTATGAGATGGTATCAAACTGCTCAGAGATCTGGCCCGGCAGGATAACACTGTCTTCTTTAGAGGACAGAGGATGAGAGGAAGTCAGGGCGTCCACCGCAAACACCCTGTGGATGTCATCCAGGACGATCAAGTCTTTCTGGAGATCAGAGACGGACAGCAATGTGTAACATTTCATATCATGTGCAAAGTTGACAGAAACGCCGAGGTGGGAAAGTTTCCGGATCCAATACTTAAGTAAAAGTAATGATACTTCACTGTAAAATGACGTTAAAGTACTATCAAAAAGGGACTTAAGTAAAAGTATTTAAGTATGACCAGGAAAAATGTATGAAACAAATTAAAAGTAAAAACAGCAAATATGTTTTCCTTTACTTCTTACAGCTTGTAAAAAATATTTGCTGTTTTTACTTTTACTATGAAATGTTTTTTCCCCAAAAGAATTACTTGAACATCAGCCAATGAATTTTCCGTCTCTAGTTGTTTTAGCTCTACTTAATTATAATGTGGATAGTTTAATTTATATCCAAACAACGTATTTTCTTCATAAGTTTGTGTTTACAAATCTGGATCTATAAAGTAAATGTAGTATGTATTTGAATTGTAGCAGAGTTGAAGTATGAAGTGGCACAGTAAGTAGTTACTCATGTAAAGTACAAGTATCTGAAATGAGTACTTAAGCACAGTACTTGAGTAAATGTACTTAGTTACCTTCCACCACAGCAGATAAGTATATATTTGTTGTTATTACGGCAGAAGGAGTCAGATAAGCTTTGTGTTCTCACCACGTTCCATGTCGGCTCAGCATGGTCCGCTCCCAGGTACGACACGTAGGAAGCAAAGCCCTCGTTCAGCCACACCTCGTTCCACCAGCGCAGAGTCACCAGGTTACCAAACCACTGCACACACATTACATTTATTTACATCAGGGGTGTCAAACATATGGCCCGCGGGACAAAACCGGCCCGCCAGAGGGTCCAATTCGGCCCGCGGGATGACCTTGCAAAGTAAAAAAATGACAGAAAATACATTAATTGCATTTTCACAACTTTTATGTATTTTGTATGTACAAATAGTTTTCATTTACAAGGCAGGGGGATAAGTTAACGTTCCTCCTTAATAGTTATATGAGTTTTTATGGTGCCGTGACGGTTCAGGTGTTCAGGATTACTACACAGTTGTGGAAATGGATGTAAAAAAGTTGTTTTGATCATAAAGTAAAAAACGATATTGTTCAGTCCCATATACCGATGACTAAATGCAGAGGCATAATATTGTTGGAATTGCACTTATTTTTCTTAAGAAATGTTCGCTTGTTCGTAATGTTTTCTTACAAGATAGTTTTATTAAATATTAAAAATATCAGAATGTACATGTTTGCACTCAACAAAGGGGATCATTTGGAGTTGTCGTTATTTATTATGCTAAGATATAACTGGTCCGGCCCACATGAGATCACATTTGGCTGTATGCGGCCCCTGAACTAAAATGAGTATCACACACCTGATTTGGATCATCATCAATCTAAAGATACCATTTAAAATGACATTGTAAAACGTATTCACCATGTGTGCTAGTTCATGAGCAATGATGGTGGCAGTCGTCTCTTTGTTTCTGTTGGAGGAGGTCACAGGGTCATAGAGGAGGTTGCTTTCTCTGTATGTCACTAAACCCCAGTTCTCCATCGCACCAAAGAAGAAGTCTGGCAGGGCGATTTGATCTGCAGAGAGCAGGTTTACAGCAGGTTAAAGGGACTGATCACAAGTCGCTGCATCACAACCATAACTTATTACAATAAAACAGAGAAACAACATGCAACTAATCTGTTGTACTGGGACGGCAGCTGAGGTCTCAGGAAAGAATTTCAAAATCAAGGTATGGTATGTTGGATTGACATTTCAACAACACTTAAATCCACATAAAAACGGAAACCTGTTGCTTGCTTCATGGGATTAACCTGTTGAAGGATTGAAGAATTAGCCTATATTGCAGTTTATCCAGGGCTGATTCCTCTGTATACCACCTTACCTAGACACTCCTCAACAATGGAACAATTTAACATAATACAATAGCAAAATAAACGTAATTCTCCCCTCTTATTGTCTCTTTTCTTTTCCTTTATTTATTTGTCTTCTTCTTTTCTTTCTTTTTAAATTTGTAAGTTTTAAAAGTTTTTTGTTACTACTTTAAAAAAACAGATTAAGTTTCACTTTCATTACATTTGCGAGGTTTTGAAAAGAATTAGCCTACTCGGCAGATTGATCACACGTTAGGTTCCCATCCAAATGAAGCGCATAATTAAAGTGGACCTATCATGCTATATTATAATAATATAGTGTAGGACCATACCTATATAAGGCATATTTATACTTTTTTTTTTTCAAAATACCAAACAGATCATGCATTTTAGCCATGCCTCATTTCGCTCAATTTGCACTTTTTTCCCCCTGTTTTTGCAAGGGCTGATTCTGTGAGAACAGCACCATCTACAGGCCTGGCATATGTACTACAGCGTCTCCAGCGCTTTCGAACGGCAATGGCCGTGGCTGTCTCCTCCTGATTGGTGGAGTTGGCCCAATAGCCGTAGCGCCACCGTCCTGACGTCAGGACAGTGTTCAAATCTGGATCAGTTTTTATCAGATCCGTTGCAGCCCCTTTTTTAGAGATTTGGGTATGGAGGAAAATAGAGAGGGTTGTGTTTTCTGACACTTGGTGAGTTCCCTGGAACAGCGGGGATTTATTCTTGTTTCTTCATGGTCAACAGCTTTTTTGTTAAAGTGGACCTATCATGCTATATTTAAATGATATATTGTAGGGCCATACCTATATAAGGTATATTTATACGTTTCTGTTTTCAAAATACCAAACAGATCATGCATTTTAGCCATGCCTCATTTTGCTCTATGTGCTGTTTGCTGTCTACGGGTCTGATTCTGCTGACCACGCCCCCCTGCAGGAGAGGTGAGCCGTGCTCTGATCAGCTGCTGGGCTGTCAGAAGAGGGGGAGAAAAAGAGATCTCCGTCCTCCGTGTTTTAGTCGTTATTCATTTGTTTTAAAGCTCAATAAATAACTAAGAAGACCTTTGACCGGCACTTTTCTAATTTTGTCCGGAAGATTGAAACTTTAACGGACATCTTGACCGGCGAAAGAAACTGAAACTGAAACTCTGCCGCACGGTCCCCTCGTTCCTTGGAAGAGGCGGAGAGGTGGGTGTTTGTCATCTGCTGGTGGACTAACCGGAGAGAATTACAGTGCTTGCCTCGACGGGGAGGGATTGCATTGAATTAAAGCAGCGGGAGCAAACGCTTGCCTCGGGGAGGGAGAAAAAAAGCCACAGCGGAGAATAAACAGAAGGGTAACCATGGTAACTATGGGCGGGAAGTCTTCTTCGCTGCTTTTGTGGCAGACTACAGCGCCACTTACAGGCCTGGCATATGTACTACAGCGTGTCCAGCGCTTTCGAGCGGCAATGGCCGGCCGTGGCCCAACCCCACATTCCCCTGATAGGTGGAGGGTTGGCCCAATAGCCGTAGCGCCACTTCTGTGACGACATAGAAGTGTTCAAATCTGGATCAGTTTTTATCAGATCCGTTGCAGCCCCTTTTTTAGAGATTTGGGTATGGAGGAAAATAGAGAGGGTTGTGTTTTCTGACACTTGGTGAGTTCCCTGGAACACCGGGGACACATATTCATGTATAAAAGACGTACAAAAGTGCATTTTGCATGATAGGTCCCCTTTAAATAAAGCTCACTTTTAGTTTGAAACCCGCTTCTCCTCATCCTGCATGTGGGTCCTGATTTTCCCCATCGCTGACACATTGAACATACAGCACAGCTGAGGCTTATGGGAATGTCATCAGTTTTAAGTGCAGGGTTCTTACACCTTTTCCAAAGTCAAATTCAAGCACTTTTCAAGCATTTTCAAGGTGCATTTTCAAGCTTTTCAAGCATCTTACAGCTGTTGTAAATTACATATTTATATACACATACTTATACTCAAATTATTATTTCCCTACCTCACATTAAATCAGATGTTCTTTATGCTATAAACAACCAAATGTAGCCCAGCTGTCTTGGTGCTGTTAGACCTGACAGCTGCCTTTGACACTGTGGACCAGAGCATCCTGTTGTCACGGCTTGAACAGTCCGCTGGCATCACAGGCTCTGCCCTTGCATGGTTCAGGTCCTACCTGACAGACCGTAGCTTCTCAGTACAGCTAGGTGCCTTCTCCTCTGCCAAAGCCCCTCTTACCTGTGGGGTTCCCCAAGGCCCATCCTTTTTCTACTGTACATATTGCCCCTAGGTTCAATTCTCACTAAACACAATATTCCCTTCCACTGCTACGCCGACGATGTACAGATATATCTGCCTCTCAAAGCAAATGGCAAACACTCTCTACAGCAGCTGATGGACTGCTTAACAGAGATAAAATCCTGGCTGAGCAAAAACTTTCTCAACCTCAACGAGAGCAAGACTGAGGTCATCTTTTTTGGACCACAACCTCCAGCCTCTCCGGTTGATATTCTGGGCTCTCTCAATAAAAACATCCTCCCCTCTGTCATGAACCTTGGAGTGACCTTCACTAGCACTTTTAAATTCGACAAGCAGGTCAGCACCGTAGTCAAATCCTGCTTTTTTAAAATAAGACTATTGGCCAAAACCAAGTCGTATTTATCTTTTAATGACTTAGAAAGGGTTATTTACGCCTTTGTTACCTCAAGACTGGACTATTGCAACGCTCTGTATGTGGGTATGGACCAGGCCTCAATTAAACGCCTGCAGCTAGTCCAAAACGCTGCTGCACGTTTGCTGACTGGCCACAAAAAGCGTGACCACATCACCCCAATTCTGGACTCACTACACTGGCTTCCAGTTCGGTTCAGAATTGATTTTAAAATCCTTTTATTTGTTTTGAAAGCACTAAATGGGCTGGCTCCGGCCTATATAGCCGAACTCCTCCATCGCTACACCCCAGCCAGAGCTTTAAGGTCTGCTGACCAGCTGCTGCTGGTAGTGCCCAAGACCAGGCTTAAAACCCGAGGGCACCGAGCCTTCGCAGCAGCTGGCCCTAGGCTCTGGAACACTCTGCCCCTCCATGTGAGGTCGGCCCAGACCCAAGGGGTTTTTAAATCTACACTAAAAACATGCTTCTTCTCTCTGGCCTTCTAGTTAGAGTGGAGCACGACTCCTGACTTTTCCTTGTGTTTTTTTTTTAATATACATATCAGTTTTTTTTTTTTTTTAATATATATCAGTTGTAATTTATTTATTGTGATTGTAGTAATGTGTTTTTATTACATGTCCAGCACTTTGGCTCGACCAAAAATCGCTTTTAAATGTGCTTTATAAATAAAACTTGATTTGATTTGATTTGATTTGAAATGTGTGTTTCATAATAGCATTCTACATGAGGATGAAATATTTACATTTTTAGAAAAGAAAACCTAGTTTAATATTTCAAAATGTGTGACCCATCTGTACGTAGACTGGGCATCCCATATAACCTGGCTGAGCCAATATAAAACAATCAGCCAAATAACTTTTCAATACATTATTGATTACTATTTTTTAGGTACTTTTAGGTTGGCAGTAAACACAAGTCAGAGGTAAATGGTGTACTTTTACTCTACTACATGTATTTAATACCTTTAGTTACTTTACAGATGTGGATGAATGATGTGAAATATAATCAAGTGTTAAATCAGACTTTAGTTCCACCTGGAGTAAATTCACAAGCTACCCTGCAGTATACAAAGTCATTCAAACTAGCTGCACCTTTACCAGCTTTGAGAACACTTTAATGATCAATCATTATAAAACATATCATATACAATTATTAGGGATGCTCCGATCGCCGGAATCAGTATCGGCCGATACCGATCGCCGATCCGATCGAGTGGGCGGGGCCTATGGGGATCTTCCATTTAAAGTGATGTTTAAAACTCAGTTAATGGGGCTCAGTTAATGGGGCTCATTCACTGGCGCTTCCACAAACCAACCAACCAACATAATTATTACATTCAAATGAAGTACATTATTCAAGTTTACATTAACTTGGGATAATAACACGGGAGAAATGAGCGGAAGCGCTCTCTTTTCCTCTCTCCCCCTCTCTCTCCTGACAGCCCGTCAGTATCTCCTGCAGCTCACTGATCCAGTAATGAGTGACCCGACAGTGAAGAATAAATATATTTATAACTAGTTTAGCTTGTTCCAGGGGTAGATCAAATAGCTAAGTGTGTTAGGTCTAACTCTTAATGTGTGTTCTGCTCCGCTCACCGGTCCGTCACAGCGGGTGGAGCTGCAGGATTTCTGCTTCACACACACGTTGCATACCGCTATTTTATTGTCATTTTCGGACACTTAAAATACTGCCAGACTAGTGAAGCCATTTTGGCGAGCTTGTTTTGCCGCGCACAGAGAAAAGTGTCATGTATTTTACATGCAACGATAGCCTAATCTAAAATACTCTACTACGGCGTACCTTTCGTGTGGTGTGTGGCGTCAGCGCAGACTCTCGCATCGTTATTGTTGCACACTTTGCAGGAGGCTACTCTTGGGCTTCGCTTGACCCTCGTCTTAGCCATGACTTGTATTTGTCTTCTGCTAGCCAATGCTCGTTGAAACGGCAACCTCCTGGCAGACTGTCATCTATCACTCTCATCAGAATGCCCAGGTCACACACGTAACAAAAACACTTGCCGGTCACGCACATTGCGCGGGAAGGCCGGAGCGGAGCTGTTTTATGTAAAAACGAAGCAATTAAGCGCGCTCCGACTTCTTTATTTTCTTTTAATCTAAAAAGCGAAGTAAAGCATTTACAATTTCAAGCACTTTATCCCAAATTCAAGCACCATTCCCAAAATTCAAGCACTTTTCAAACCTTGAAAACACCTCGTACAATTTCAAGCATTTTCAAGGATTTCCAGCACCCGTACGCACCCTGTAAGTGCCCACTTTCCCCCCTTTGAGTCATGATTATACTGTAAAAGCAGCTTACCAGACTTGCTCAGAGGGTAGGAGATGTTGAAGTAGGACTGGAAGAAGTCCAGCACCGGTCTGGTCACGTTCAGGGCGTAGCTCCCCTGACCCTGCTCCATCGCCTCCCTGCGAGCCCAGATACGGATCTGAACACACAGCAGAAAACCTCATGTGTGTTATGTGTTATAATCACTGTTGGAAGAAGTACTCAGATCCATTCAGAGGTGGGAGTGTAGGAATGCTCTGTTACAGTAAAAGTCCTGCATTCAAAATGTTACAAAGTAGAAAAGTAGAAAATCATCCAAATATAGTTAAAGTACCAAATTTAAAAGTAGTGATTGTGCAGATTGGTCCATTTCAGAATAATCTATATGATATGTTTTATAATTATTGATCATTAAAGTGTTATCAAAGCTGGTAAAGGTGCAGCTAGTTTGAATGACTTTGTATACTGCAGGGTAGCTTGTGAATTTACTCAAGGTGGAACTAAAGTCCATTTTATACATGAATATGTGTGCCCGGTGTGTCAGGGAATTCACCAAGTGTCAGAAAACACAACCCTCTCTCTTTTCCTCCATACCCAAATCTCTAAAAACGGGGCTGCAACGGATCTGATAAAAACTGATCCAGATTTGAAAATTCTCTGACGTCAGGAACGAGGAGCTTCGCCTATATGGCCAACTCTCCACCTATCAGGGGAATGAGAGGTTGCTGTGGCATGGTAACAGCATGGTAACAGCATGGTAACAGCATGGTAACATGACGCTCGTGCCTCGCCCCCCTCCTTTGCAGGGGGGCGTGGTCAGCTGCAGCTCATGCAAAGACAGGGCTGGAGGAGAGCAAAATAGAGCAAAATGAGGCATGGCTAAAATGCATGATCTGTTCAAAAAAACTTCACAGACATGTTTTATATAGGTATGGCCCTACAATATATTATTCAAATATAGCATGATAGGTCTATCATGCGATATATATATCGGGGAGGGAGAAAAAGAGCCAGAGCGTCCACAGCGGAGAACAAACAGAAGGGCAACCATGTCAACCATGCGCGGGAAGTCTTCTTCGCTGCTTTTGTGGCAGACTACAGCGCCACTTACAGGCCTGGCATATGTACTACAGCGTCTCCAGCGCTTTCGAGCGGCAATGGCCGTGGCCGTGGCCCAACCTCTCATCTCCGTGATAGGTGGAGAGTTGCCCATATAGGCGGAGCACCCCTTTTCTGACGTCAGAAATATTCAAATCTGTATCAGCTCCGTTGCAGCTCCGTTTTTAGAGATTTGGGTATGGAGGAAAAGAGAGAGGGTTGTGTTTTCTGACACTTGGTGAGTTCCCTGACACACCGGGGACACATATTCATGTATAAAAGACGTACAAAAGTGCATTTTGCATGATAGGTCCCCTTTAACTTTTACTTAACCTGTTAAGCCCGAGAGACCCCGGTACCGGGGTACTGCCGCAACATCTTGCAGGAAACAGTGTCTGAGGGCATGTTCATTTAATAAAACTATGAATGTTTTATATCCATGTAACGGGAAGAAACTCATCTAACTGATCATTTCTTTTTTTTTTTCAAAAGAAACCCACAATGCTAACACTGAGCCTCTGAATTAGCAACGAGCGAAAAATGCTAACACCTTACTGCACCGAAAATCACTCACAAAACCTTATTATTTATCTTTTCACCACATCCAACACATCGATTCACATCGTGAGGTGACACAGAATCGTTTGACACCGACATTACCACTGAATTATACGTATATGCGACGTTATAAGCAAAAACGGACATCAAAACAGGTGACGCTAGGTAGCTAAAAATGCTCAAATGTTTACCTTGGCTCTGTAGTCTCTCCAAAGTGGTCTTCAATGGCATTAAAACGATAAAAACGCTGCTGAAGTTAATCCATATGTTAATCTAATGTGTCTGTGTCCCTTTGAAATGATTTCTGATAATCCATAAGCATTAAAACTGCTTTTCCGTTTCCAGATGTCAAAGCTAGAGATAGGTCATTTGTTCTGGGAATGTCATTTTCGAGCCTGAGACCTGAAAAACAGGCTCAGGGCTTAACAGGTTAAAAAAAGAGAACGGAGCGAAAAATACAAACAACAAATTGTGTCAGGTGCACGTGACCTGCTCCGCTGCGCGTGCATCATTTCCAAAGTGCTTCCACAGCAGTGACACACATCTGTGGATAATCATTTATACGAAAATGGTTAAAGCAACCATCACTAAACGCCAGCACCACTGCATCTACAGCAGACAATAGCAACAGGTCAGATGGGGACATCACGTTACCCTCCGTTGTGGACACTAGCTTACTCCCGCCTGACTCGCCGCCCTCGCCCCCGGAGCAGCAGTTTTCGTCACCCGAAACACTGCCGCCGCTCATCGGCCCGCAGGTGCCAGGAGACCTCGGCAAAACAGAGCCTGCCCAGGTATATCTAAACAAGTACCCGCCTGTACAGTGGGGTAAGGCGGTCATTTTGCAGCTCGTGGTATAAAAATAGACAATGGCTAGAATATGAATGTAAAAATAGTGCCATATTCTGCCATGCCTGTAGAAATGTTGGGTCAAAAATAATGCATACAATAGCACAGATGCCTTCACCACGAATGGCTACAAAAATATTTCATATATCCCAAGCTTATCAACAAGCTAATGTTGCAGCTGAAATGTTCTCCAGGTCACAAAGTCAACCTCACACGATGATGTGATACCAGTTTTCAAGCACAGTAAATATTCTCTTCCCAGAGTATATGATGAGACCAAGGTGATGATGTGGTACATGGTTTTAATAATACTTTTGCCTTTCAATGTTTGCCATTTCAAACCATGAGCTGGTTCAAATATTATTTGCCTTGATTTACAATATGTTGTCATTTGTTTTATCACTACAGTTTTTAAGCTTTTGTGCTTTTCTTTGCCATAGTCCGGTTTGGAATGGATGAAATATTTTAGGATTGCACTTTTAACTTGAAATGTTCTCACTTGTTTGGTTTCAAAACATAACAAATGCCATAATCTGTTCATTGGGACCATAACATCAATGCTATTTTTCATTGCTGTTGCCGGCCGCTATTGCTCATGTAAACCTACTACTGCTGCGCCCCCTGTAATCTCAGATGCACCCTGAGTCATTTTGTTCTGGAACCGGGCCTGCCCTTCAGGCTCATCAAGATCCCTCCGCTTCGCGTCGGGTTCCCTGATCAGCCTGTCGGGTGTTCTTTTCCCCATAATGACCGCCTCGCTGAACATTATCCCGTTTATTACACGGCCATATACTAAACAAACAACAGAGCCCATTCCGTGTTCCTGTTATTGTTTACTTCCTCTCTGCCTTCTTCTGGTGATTTATCTGACGTCCAGCGCTCCGTCTTTTAACCTCTTTTCCTTTCTCTTTCTTGATCCTCCTTAGCAACCTTAATTATAGTCATTGACAGTGGTCTGTACTACTGTATTAAGAACGTGTCACATGTTAAAAATGTACAATCAGAATCGAGCCAGAGGTGGCGTTCATTGTGGCCGGGGATTTTAACACTACTAACATGAAGAAGGTCCTGCCGAAGTACTACCAACACATCAGCTGCCCGACGCGCAGGGGAAACATACTGGACCATGTTTATTCCCCTTTTCGACATGGATATAAGGCTCTCCCTCGCCCTCCCTTCGGCAAATCAGAGCACATCTCACTGCCGCTGCTGCCTACAACACTACAACGATGGAGTGAGGAGTCAGATTCAGCACTGCAGGATTGCTTTGCATCTACGGATTGGAGTGTGTTTAAGGACAATAACATCAACACACACACGGATACGGTCATCTGCTACATTGGGAAATGCATCGATGACGGGGTACCGAAGGTTTCTGTACGAACATTCCCGAATCAAAAGCCCTGGATAAACGGCGAGGTTCGTACCAAGCTGAAAGCGCGCACAGAGCTGGAGATTTGGAGGAGTTCAGGAAATCTATGAACTCCTGAGAGCTATCAGCAGTGCAAAGAGACAGTACAAAGACAAGGTGGAATTTGACTTCAAAGGCTGTAACACCCGGAACATGTGGGCGGGACTAAGAACAATGACTGACTACAAAGGAGCAGCGGGGGGTGCTGCGGGAGTGTCTGCATGCGCATCTCTCCAAGATGAGCTGAACAGATTTTTTTTCACGCCCCCATTGCCATCAATGGGACTACGGTGGAGAGCTTCAGGTTCCTCGGGGTCCACATCACTGAGGACCTGACATGGACTCTTCACACCACCACCATCACCAAAAAAGCTCGACAGCGGCTCTTCTTCCTCCGCAGGCTGAGGAGGTTCAACATGGACTCCAGGATACTCTGCAACTTCTACAGGTGCACCATAGAGAGTATCCTCACTGGCTGCATCACGGCCTGGTACGGCAGCTGCACCGACCTCAATCGTAAGGCTTTACAGAGGGTGGTGAAAACTGCACAGCACATCACCAGGACGGAGCTGCCATCCATGGAGGACCTTTACTACCAGCGGCTCAGGAAGAAATCCCTCAGGATTATCAAAGACCCACATCACCCCAGCCACAAACTGTTCTGTCTGCTGCCGTCTGGCAGGCGCTACCGCAGCATCCGGACTAAAACCACCAGACTCAGGGACAGTTTCATCCCACAGGCCTTAAGACTGTTAAACAACTGAACTGCTGAAACAACATCCACAATATTCATCTGGCTGCTACTTAAAAAATATTTATCTATTTACCTAATATATCATATTTCAATGACATGCATATAGACTCTTATTGCACTATTTCACTATTTCACTTTTTTAAACTATTTTTCTTCTTTTATTTACTATTTACTATTTACTTGCACTATATTTTTCTGTTTATCTGTGTTTTGTGTTGCACTGTTGGAGAAGCCTGTGACACAAGATTTTAATCGACATAACTACACTGTAGCTATGTTCGTTTGACAAATAAAGAACCTTGAACCTTGAACCTTAACCACTGCATAAATGTGATGAAAATGGAAGATGAGGTCACAGTTACCAGAGTGTGTCCTTGTGCAGCGCTGATGTGTGTGTAGTCAGAGATCACGATGGCCAGTAAATAGGTGGACATGATCTCGGTGGGCTCGAACTTAGTGTGTGTCACAGATGCTCCACCAATGGTGATGTTAACAATGTCTGAAAATACACAAAAACATAGTTCAACAGACTCTAATGACTATGCAATTATTCATATAGCAATGTGAGGAAAGATAACATTTACATTTTGTAAATCCTTCTGTTAACTTTATGTCTGGATTTCTCTGACAGCAGCTCTCTTTGCTCCTTTGCTATGGAAATCATAGAGATTGCCAAAGAAAATGTTTCTTGTTTACCATAAATGTTATGTTTATGTTTATGTTTATTAAGGATCCCCATTAGCTTTTGCTCTTGACAAAAGCTACTCTTCCTGGGGTCCGACACTTAAAACAATACAACAATAATACAACAATAATACAACAACAATACAAAAACATTCAAAACATAACTCCTGACATCATTAACAATATTAACAACATCACCAACATCATCAACAATCTCATCCACTTACAACATCAATCTCAGCCAAGGATGAGTGCACAAGACACTAGGGGTGTTGAAAATAATCGTTTCTACGATGCATTGCGATGCGGACGTGGACGATTCGGTCTCGATGCAGTGACGGAAGATAATCGATTATAGCGTAGTAACGTTGCTTCCTGATTTTCCGGCCGCGGCTTTACTATAATGTTTTTTTTTCTGTCACTTTAATATCAAATCGGTCGGTGACGCAGAGATCAGGGAACAGACGTGACAGCGGCACAGCAACACCAAACACGGAGCAGTCTGCTTTATCCACCAACACAAGAACACCAGTCCAGAACCAAAAGCAGAAGGACCCGCTCTGAATCACTCCGTCTCGCTGCGGCTCAGAGACACAAGGATTTATGTTTTTCAAAAATAATCGCGTTACAATCATGTCAGGTTTTTGGTGGATTTAAGTCTTGGATTGCAGAGTATGAATGTCCTCTAGCAATTTTCAGACGATATTATTATGTACGTGTGTAAAGACGCACCCCTGCCTTTAATGAGCATCGTAAGATGTATCCATTAAAAATGAATATAAATAGTATTATGGGGATAGGCTTTCTCAGACAGGCATATATCTATCTATGCATGCAAGATAATGATTTATCATTGTAACTGTGGATGCTGTTTTCTATACATGTAGACTGCACTGACCTCTTTCCTTGCCATTGGACAGGGCTACAGTTCCAGGGGGGTGGATGAGAGTTATATGGAAAACTGCTTTTAAAGCTGGTTCATCAAAACAAGGGAAGGTCTTTCTGGCATGAGTTGGATGCATCTGAGAGGTGGCAACGATCCTGAGAAGGATAAAAAACATTCTGAACACAATGTTGACATTTGAAATAACCCATACTGGTCTAAAGATAATGCCAGACAGGAAATAGAGAACTTACTTTCGGACCCCATCTTCTTCATATTCACTCCGATAGAAGCCTGCCAAGTCATCAGCTAGTTCTCCGGTGAAGTTTGTGTACAGCTGGTACTTCTGTTTTTTAGTTAATTTACTATTCAGCTCAATGACAAGATACTGGGTCTCAGGCTGCATCCAGCAGGACTTAATGCTGGGAGCAGACCCACCACCTGAGGAGGGAATATAACACATCATTATTAATGCTCAATTCTTTGTTTTTAGGACAAATGTCTTTAGAACTTTATGATGTAAGACAGACACTAAACATTTATTGGAAGTCGACCTGTGCTGAGACGCCGTACTGACACAGCCTCTGCCCAACAGCCTGTCCTCCTCCAAAAAACGACCAAATGGTCGATTGTTCAAGCCAGGGGCGGATCTACGGGGGGGGGGGGGGCAATATGGGGCAGCTGCCCCCCTAACTTTTGTTTCCCTAAAACTGTACTTGTAGAAACAAACCTACACTATGTCCACAAGCTTCTCAATCAACTAAACAAGCAGTACATTAATTAAAAGTGAATAATTTTAAATATCATCTTAGGCCCGTTAAAAACGTAGCTACGGCCCTGCATTAAACTGCGGAACGACGTTCACACAGACCGCGGCTCACATAGCTGCAGAGAGGGAGCGAGCTGTCCCAGCACCTGAGGGTGGATCAGCTTCCCCTGGGAGCATTTCCCCTTCCACTAGTTTTGTTTTTACTAAGGACGAGAGTTTGAAACAAAATATTAATAAACCGCTGCCGTTTGAATCGATAGCATTTAATAGACGGGCGCTGTTTGGGACGTTACGTTACAAAATACTACGCAGACAGCGCTAGCTGGGAGATCGATCACTTTATTTGCTAAACTATGCGGTACTATTAAATCCACGTATATTACACATCACAGCAATGAGGCCAGATAAATTAAACCACCAGGATACATTCTTTACCGTCAAACTGGGTCTAAACACAGCTGCCTGTGTGCGTTTGATAAATACTTTCTGATTTTATATTTATTATTGGCTATGCTATTAGCTACATGGCCCTAACGTGTACAGTTGTAAGCATTTGTACCAGTGCTTTTCACAAGTAGACTCTTGCAGGACAGAGTAGCTGGAGTGATTCAACAAAAATAAAAAGACATATCTGAGAAGTGATCAGGATGAGTAGAAAGAGGAAAAGGAAAAGACAGTACACTGAAGAGACCAGGAGGGTCAGAGCAGGAGGAAGCCAGGAGGAGATGAAGACATTAGTGAAGAAGAAGAAATGTACAGATGGAGCCTCTTATTTTGGACCCCAGCATACAGCTTCCTGCCGACTGCCAGCCAGTTGCCAGCCAGTTGCCTGCCAAAGACCAGTATTCAGGAATGTTAGGCCCTCCCACTATTCTCCAATTTCAGGGTTTAACCAGGAGATGGCGCTATATATTAAATAACTAAGACTTAGTTTTTCACAATAGAAAATGCAGATATTATATAAAAAACTAAAGTTAAAATCTTGTTTTTAATGCCCCAAGAGCAATAACATCTTGTCACAAGCTTTTTGGAAGAAAAAGACTGACTCAAGAGACCTGTAGTTGACTAATTACAGGCCTCAATAAAGTTCTGCCATTGGTTGTGAAAAACAACGGTGGACATAGTGGAAAGTGAAATTGACATTGTCGAATTTAATAAAAATACAAAATAATGTATCTGTGTACGTGTTTTACTATGTGATCTGCACTTATCAAACATCTAATTAAGGCGAGACACCCCAGGTGAATAGGGTATTTTTAACTTAAAGATATCAGCTAAATATTTCTCCAGTTAATTACTTACAATAAGGCAATTGTTTTTTGTATTACAAGTTTTCTGAAATAGCATGTTTAAATATCCAAATGAACCATTATCTCATGAAATATGCGCATATTTTAACACATTTCAGGAACCGAAATCTGAACTTTGGATAAAGCCAGGATCAAAATTATTGTTTCATTTTGTAGTCATATTAGTATCTAAGGCTTTTACAGAAGGGATTTTGGATATCTCTTTGTATCACTCCATAAATCAGAAAATACTGTCAACAGCCCTAAAATATCAATTTTCACCATGTTTTTAGGTATAAAATGTTATATAATTCAGGCTATGAATTATATATGACCAAACCCTTCTGTAAAAGCCTTCATAATATTGATAGGAATATAACTGGAAGGTTTGGTGTATGTAACTGCTGAGTGATTCTACAATTTAGGGTACATTCCATGTCCATTGATGTCCATTGATGATAATTATAATTATTCTAACTATTTTCTTCAAAAATATCATATTTTGCCTATTATTGGAAAGCATGTTATAATATCACACAAACATTATGTGCATCCTATGCTTTATTTAGCTTGAAATGTGTCATGATGTTCTTAAATTGTCAGTTTTTGCTATGTCCGTTTTTCAGTTGAGGGTGTCTTGGATTCAAAATAATGAATAAAAACCATTAAAGTAAATTTAAAAAATGATTCATTTATTTCAAAAGTCTAAATACTAAAGAATAATAACATATTTTTAATTGATTTCCCCCTTTAAATAATTTAAATATCTTAATATATGAATGTCCGCAAAAGTTCTGTCAACTATGTTACTAACAGAACTTCCCCCTTTAACTCAAAAATTGTTTGTCCCAATACCATGTCACCAGCATCACATGATGCCATGTTCCTCTTTGGCAGACATTTTGAACACACTGTGGTGATTGTCCTCTACATTTTTACAATATTTTATGTATAATAGCACATGGTCAATTAATATACTCATTGACAATCAACAATGTTACGTACATTGTTATGGTTTACAATTGTTTAATGATTTTAATTCAATTATATGTGCAAATGTGATGTTAACCTGTTCAAGAAAATGACATGTGGTCATCCAGGCAAGGCCTACCATTGAAATGATGGGTCAAAATAGGGAAATTGTCAACTAGGTTACCTGTCAACTGAGTTACCCAGTACTGTAATAACTGTAGTAACTTAGTTGACAGGTAACCTAGTTGACAATTTGTACGACATGTAGACGTCATTACACATCATTATCAATGGAATTTTGCACTTCTGCCTTGAAATTAACATAGTGCTGATGGTTAATAATGTGTCCAGTCAACTATGTTATTTGCGTCAAATGTTTGACTTTCATTGTCAACTATGTTGCACCTCATTTTTTCAAATTTAAAATATCTAAAATAGTGCTTCTGATATCCTTTATAGTATAATGTATATCTACACAGGTTGGAGTTTTACATGACATCTCTTAAAACTATCAAAATGACCTGTATGGTAGTTTTATAATACAAAATATCCCTAAACTTAATGACAGTGCTGAACATATCACATGAAAAAACAAAACTTTAATACAATTATTTTTTAAACTTTAAAAAATCTTTGGATATATGGTAGAATAGACTCAAGAGCCTTTCAAATTTGATTTTACTTGAAGTGCAGGACTTAATCAAATGATTGTAATGACATCAAGTTTGTCCGTAACATAGTTGACAAACTGAGTAGTGAAAACATCCTTTCCCTTAAAATAAAAAAATATATAAAAATGTTTAAGCTTTGCAACTAGTGGATATGTTACACTGAGGAATATACTAACTTGAACCACTGATTGTTCTATCTATACATTTTATTTGGCATTAGTAAATAATTATGCACATTTACAGATATTTTACATGATATGAGTGATAACACGTGTTATAAGGGCTATTTCGCACAATAGGTGTGCCTTGAGATTTTTACTTGTCCTTTGGTGTGCCTTGGGCACAAAAAGTTTGGGAACCACTGCTGTAGAGAAATGTAAACGTTCACCATCCCCCACCCGCCTACTGTATGTTGCTTTTTGACATGTAAATGGGTAACTACCCCCCTCTGAGTGAATACCTGTTGTACCTGTCCGGGGCTAAGCCCATAGGACGATGCTCTGATGTCATCACCCTCGCACATTGGTCATATGTTTACAAAAAACGATGTTAACACTTTCTCGTTCTTAATATATGCTATATTTAGGGTCGATATGTGTTGAATTTACTTTAAAATAGCAGATCACTGTGATTCACTTCTCCGCGGCTCCTCCGTGCAGAGAGGCGTTGACAATTCACGAGCGTCTAACTCTCTCCCCCCTGTGAAGAGATATCACAGGGGGGGTTGGGACACACACATTCCGATGGCCAATTCGTTTTAAACAAAGAGTGGGGTGGGGGCTGGTGAACGGTATGGTCAATGTTTGTAAACACTGTGACATTTTGACTTTATTTGATCATTTCAGTTAAAAACTAACGTTCATATTTCATATTACTGTTTTGCCTGGCTGGACCTGTAATTTACAGGAAAGGAGTGCACGCTACTAAAGAGACACGCTACCATGGAAACCAAACAATGGTGTTGCTGTATTGAAGTCCGAGTGGAAACAGTCATATTTGGAGCGTTATGTTAGAATGAAACAGCGAGGTCGTGACTCACAAAAAAAAAGTGTTACTTCACTAACTGTAAGCTTGTCACTCAGAGTAACCTACAGTTAACTTAACTGTTGGAAAAGAAAGATCAGAGTTAGGAGTGTGAACACACAGCTGAGAGCTGCCGTTTCATTCTGACTGTTTAAAAAACGGTAACAACGGACTATTTTTCTTAGCGGATGCATGTAAATTTAAATCAATACATAGAACTATGTTTTAAATCAATAAAAATATTTTCTAAATCCATAAAAGCATTTTAATTAATATTGGGAGTCATGTCGTTACTTTGTTGAGAATGTGGCCATGTAATAAGCGGGATAATTTGCAGCGACTTGGTCATTATGGGGAAAAATAACACCCAGGGATCAAGATCCCTCCGCGACGCGGAGGGATCAGTAATTTTTAGTGAATTACTGAGTTTAGGCACGTTAATAACATTTTAATGAAGTTGAATACAGTATATTCATATTTGTCAGTGATTTCATGTCAATTCGGCGAACATAAACGATTAAATTAGGATTAAAAATCGAGAGCCGGCTGCTGTTCGTTACGGTAACCCAACTAGGACACTTGACACAGTGGCTTTTGGCAAAGCACACAAAGAAAACAAAAAAAACCGAGAGAGATGAATTATTGTTATTACAACGTGACTTCACTATTATTTAACAACTATTTTTATTGGGTTCTTTTATTTGGGGTTAAGTACAT